CTAGCGCCGAGTCCAAAATAAGCCCGCCAACAGGCGAATTCAATAATAGCTCTGCCGCGGCCCTTACGGGACCAGCTTCGCAGGTGACTCGGCATTGACGGGGTCTGGGGCTCTCTTTATCACCGCTGCTCTGAAGCCGGCTGTAGACTACTACCATTAATCTTTGATACTTCCGTTAAACTGCTGCACCAACTGTGTAAGAACTGGCTTGCTGCTCTTAAAATACACCGAACACAGCCTAAAAATTTACTGCAGTCCATGGCTTAGATTCTTTCCGATGAGCTGACACTCCGAGAAGCAGACTGCGGTCCTTCCACCAGCCGTGCGCCGTACTTTGTAGTCCTTTGTCTCGTTGAATCTGAACTAATACTAAGTTAGCTAACTAACTAGTGTTGGTCGGTTGGCTGTTGGATTTGAGGTCTATGTCGTCGCTGACTAACCAACCCGAGCCTGCTTACTAACCCGCCATTTGTTTTGGGGGGTGGGATGGGCGCTTTTTTTGTTTTGGCGTCAAAGGCAACAACCTTGACGAGCAGTGACATCCTCAGCCAGACAGCATTGTGCCCATCGACCGCACAGCCTTCTTTCTCCTGACAGGGCCTCATCCCGCTGCATTGCACCAACGGTCAGCTCGTCTCGTCGCCTGCGAATCTATCACGTACTGCCTGGACACTGCTATCCACCAGCGTTCCCTCGCTCTGTGCCCCTCCTCTCCTTCACCTCCTTCTCCGCCTTAGTTTTAACGTGCTCTGTGCTCCCTCTCACCCACGGCCTAGCTAGACCTCCATCGGCAGATTACGAAGACAGTAACACTACCTATCTGCTCGTTTGCCCCGGCCGGACAACTTTTTTTTTTTTTTTCGGACGGCAGTGCTGGAGATCTGGGCCTGTCCCCTTTAACCCTGACATTTGATGCGCCATGTCGGTCTCTATCCGGGAGCTAGATAACACCGTCCGGGCCTTCTATGAGGGAAAAGGCGAAGCTGTAAGTCCACCCCGGTTGCCGTCATAGCGGGTTGTTCGCGCAAGTAAAGGACAAATCGGTGCTAAAATCTTTCATCTCTCTCTCTCTCTCTCTCTAGCAAAAACAAGCACAACAAGCTCTTACTGAGGTATGCACCCATCGATAGAGGGCATCCAGTCTTCCGGCTTAACATACCATTCTAACCGGGTTAATTCAGTTTAAACAAAATCCCGAATCATGGGTGCTCGTGGGAAACATCCTTCAGGAATCCGAATATGTCCAGACTAAATGTAAGCCTTCTTCCGGCTGCTGTCCACCGTCGTGCAGATCTTAGCGCTAACATACGCTTGTTAGATCTTGCTCTTCAAGTCCTCGACGATGTGATTATGACACGATGGAAAGTCCTTCCTCGCGAACAGTGTCAAGGTATGGACAATCGACTTGCATAAGGGTCCATATAATATTCCTTCTGACCAGACTGCTATTAGGTATCCGAAATTTCATCGTCAATTGTATCATCGAACACTCCAAAACGGAGGAGAAGCTGAAGAGCGAGCGGGCCTTTCTCAACAAACTTAACCTCGTCCTGGTGTCTATCTTGAAGCAAGAATGGCCTCATAACTGGCCAACCTTTATCAACGAAATCATATCATCATGCCACACGAGCTTATCGATATGTGAAAACAATATGGCCATCCTCCGCCTGCTCTCTGAAGAAGTTTTCGATTACTCCCAGGATCAGATGACATCAACCAAGGCCAGGAACCTGAAGACAACCATGTGCCAGGAATTCTCCGCTATTTTCCAGTTGTGTTCAGAAGTCCTGGATACTGCGAACCAGAGCAGTTTAATTAAATCTACCCTGGAAACACTGTTACGATTTCTCAACTGGATCCCACTGGGATATGTCTTTGAAACGCCCATCATCAACACTCTCTTGACACGGTTCTTAGACGTCCCTGAATTCCGCAACGTGACTCTCAAGTGCCTCACTGAGATAGGAAGCCTTCAAATTGGTCCGCAATATTCATATGACGAGAAACTTGTCCAGATATTCACAGATCTCTTAACAACTGTGTCCAAGATCATCCCTCTATCTCTGGACTTGAGGGAAACTTATGCGAACAGCAACTCCCGGGACCAAGAGTTTGTCCTCAATCTTGCTCTTTTCCTTTGCAACTTTTTCAGCGTCAGGCTACATGTAAGTACCCCGTACAGATTTACCTCTATTGGATCTCTTGTTTTCTAACTTGTCGCATTACAGCTTATCGAAAAACTTCCCAATAGAGATTACCTCACACATGCCCACTTCTATCTCATCCGAATTAGTCAGATTGATGACAGAGAAATTTTTAAAATCTGCCTGGAATACTGGACGCGGTTAGTCCAGGAGTTGTATGAAGAAATGCAACAGCTTCCAATCACTGATATAAACCCACTTGTCAGTATGGGGGTGAGCGGACTATCGAACGGCGGTGCCCCCCACCCAAGCACGCTTGCCAACTATCCTCTTCGAAAACATAAATACCAAGAAGTCCTCACTAGCCTGAGAACCGTTATGATTGAGAAGATGGTAAGGCCGGAGGAAGTGCTGATTGTCGAGAACGATGAAGGCGAAATCGTGCGGGAGTTCGTTAAAGAGAGTGATACTATTCAGCTATACAAAACCACCAGAGAGTGCCTTGTCTACCTTACTCACCTGGATGTAGTAGACACAGAAAACATCATGGCCGACAAGTTGGCCAAACAAGTTGATGGAACTGAGTGGTCCTGGGCAAATTGCAACACCCTCTGCTGGGCCATTGGCTCAATCTCTGGAGCCATGAATGAGGAGACCGAGAAGAGATTTCTCGTTACTGTCATCAAAGATCTTCTCGGCCTGACAGAAATGAAGCGTGGAAAAGACAACAAAGCGGTCGTGGCGAGTAACATCATGTATATTGTTGGGCAATACCCGAGGTTTTTGAAGGCACATTGGAAATTTTTGAAAACGGTTGTCAACAAGCTTTTTGAATTCATGCATGAGACTCACGAAGGTTTGTGATCCCCAACTGTTCAAGAACCGAAAGGTTATCATTTGCTAACTATGAGAAAAAAATAACAGGCGTCCAAGATATGGCGTGTGACACCTTCATCAAGATTGCGAACAAATGCCGACGGCATTTCGTTGTGTTGCAGCCTAGCGAGACCGAGCCGTTTATAGACGAGATCGTGGGATCAATGAGAAAAATCACCTGTGATCTGTCTCCCCAGCAAGTCCACACATTCTATGAAGCTTGTGGCTATATGATTTCGGCTCAAGGCCAGAAAGGCGTTCAGGATCGTTTAATTGAAAATCTCATGGCTCTTCCAAATGCTGCATGGGATTCGATCATCAGCCAGGCAACCCAGGACCCATCCACGCTTCAGAATGCAGAAACCATAAAAATTGTTGGAAATATAATGAAAACCAACGTAGCGGCTTGTACCTCAATTGGCAGCTACTTCTACTCGCAGATCGGACGCATTTATTTGGATATGCTCAACATGTACCGAGCATCGAGTCAGCTCATTTCGGATGCCATTGCTGCAGACAGTTAGTATTCACTCCTTCAGTGTTTTCCATTCGGCGCTCGCTAACATTTGTAAAAGCAACCGGATATGCTACTAAAACGCCGAGAGTGCGAGGACTGAGAACAATCAAAAAAGAGATTCTGAAGCTTATTGATACTTATGTCGAGAAGGCTGATGATCTCGAAATGGTCAACTCTAGCATGGTCCCGCCGCTTCTGGAAGCTGTTCTTCTTGACTACAACCGGAACGTCCCTGACGCCAGAGAAGCAGAGGTGCTTAATGTTATGACAACAATCATCCACAAATTACACGTATGTACCCCCATTGTGAAGCACACCCAACTCCGCACCTTTCTTGACACACCATAAACTCTATATACCTTAATTGCACTTCACCTGCTGACATTATATATAGAACCTCATGGATGACAAAGTTCCAATTATTATGGAAAATGTCTTCGAATGTACGCTTGGAATGATCAACAAAGACTTCCATGAATATCCCGAGCATCGTGTAGGGTTTTTCAAATTATTGCAGGCAATCAACCTATACTGCTTCTCTGCTCTTTTGAAACTAGATACCAGCCAGTTTAAATTTGTCATTGATTCATGCATGTGGGCTAGCAAGCACGACAACAGAGAAGTCGAGAACACCGGACTCACCATGTGCCTTGAGTTGATGAACAACATGGCGGACTCCGAGCCCCAGACGTCAAGTGTTTTCTTCAGACAATTTTATCTTCCGATATTACAAGATGTCTTCTTTGTGCTCACTGACACCGATCACAAGGCTGGTATGTTACTTTTATATATTTTGTTGATGGGTGCGAGTACTGATCCGTAATGTCATCTCCAGGGTTCAAATCTCAGGCAATGCTTCTTGCTCGCATGTTCTATTTCGTGCAATCGGACAAGATTCGGGATCCCATATATGCTCCTGACCAGGCTCCTGCTGGGACATCCAATAGAGACTTCCTGCAGGAGTATGTCGTGAATTTGCTCCAGAGTGCCTTCAAGAACCTACAAGAGTATGCCGTACCCCCTCCTGCACTGATCGAATATCTCATTGATATTAACAACATTTTAGGGCTCAAACAAGACAGTTTGTTACTGGTCTATTTGTTATCAATGATGACTTTAACAAATTCAAAACCCATCTAAGAGACTTCCTTATCTCCTTGAAGGAGTTCGCTGGCGACAACACAGAACTTTATGCTGAAGAAAGGGAACAGGAGTTGAAGGAAGCCAAAGCTGCTGAGCGCGACCGAGCGATAAAAATAGGTGGACTCTTGAAACCCTCGGATATGGATCAAGAGGATGAACTGTGATGCACAGATATGGATGCCCTCTTACAACATAAAAAGGAAAGAAAGAAAAGAAAAGGACTATCTTACGGACCTCAGTTTATGTTAGCACCTTTGCTCTATTTCATAGGAAGTTTGTAAATCATAACAGGCTATATCTCAGGGGTGCGTAATTGAATTCTACAATTGCACATCATTATCAAATAGTTTTACCTCTTCACCTGGTTTGAACGGTGGTAGGCCAATGTACGGACAACCGTCGCAACGGAAAGCGTCTCCTAAAGAGCAGTTTCCGCAACTCCCAGTTTTCCCTTGAACTGTAAAATCTACTTCTGCTATTTCTCCAGAGTTCAATTTTAACGCAGATAGCTTCTCGTCTGCGTTTGCACGCTGAAGCTTATCTTCTGCTTGGAGTTTCTGAGCTAGCCCACAGGTACAATCCTTACACGCCCTCCTGCGTTTGCCAGCTTTAGGCCTACACTCTGGGGCTATAAATTGTTAGTTAATCTTAAACGGTATATGTGCGCAAGGTGGATTCAGGCCTTACGTTGTATGATAGGTCTTTCAAGCTCATTCTCATCGATTAAATCATCCTCATCAATTAATTCTTCATCCTCATCGCCGTCTGGGGTATTAAAAACATAATTCGTGTTGTTATCCAATATCACTATGTTGTTTTGGAGTACTGCTGGCTGCTGTTCATTCTTATTTAGGTTGGTATCTTTCTTGGGTTTCTGGCTGTTGTTTAACGAAAATGGCAATGAAACCGATTGTTCTTCAAATGCAGGTTTCATTAGCTCCCCCTTATCATTAACCATTAATCCGCATAATATAGCTTCAGTACGAGTTGGTTCATTAATGGCGGTAGTAGATCCATCTTGATATTTCATTACTCCGCCTGGTTGTAGTGCTTGAGAGATCTGCTGTAGTGTGTCTCGTCCCACCAATCGCTCGCCTTCCCCATTTGTTCCATCGATGCCTGTGAGCAGCAAAACTAGACTGTAGGTAGACTCTGGGAGAGATACAAGGCCAGCGGCGAGGCGGTCTAGCATTTGCAAGTCTCTGGCGTTTTTATCATATTGATTGATAAACTCGGCTAGCTTGTCAGGGTTTGATGAGAGGGAGGGCGGGGAAAGTAGCAACACCCGGGGTAGACCACTCATGACGGCTGCAGGCGACATTATTCGTAGACGCTTTTGGGAGTCACTTTGTGCGATTTCAAGAGCTGTATAATAGGAAGAAGAGTCGTGGGTGTAGAAATGAACTACCACTTGAGCAATTTTTTTGTATGACTGATAACTGAAGGTTAGGTGGCAAGGATTACAAATGGAGATAAGAATGGTGGGCTCGTCAGAAATAAGTTGTATCACGTGCTGATAAGGAGCTTTGCCCCACCACCAGGGCTACCTGATAGTTAAATCTATCAAACTGATCACGAAGAACGTAAGATCTTATAGTGCCTACCTAAGCGGTTGGTACCTCATGATTTTACCTGGTTTAAAAGTTGCCGAATATACCCTCGCTCTAGGTACAAACTACTGTACATTAGTTAAAAAGTAAGTAGATCATGGGCTGAGGTTGACACTTACATGGTAGAACCAACACACAATCCTGTGGTTGCTACTTTAGTCAGGTTTTCCAGATCTAAGCCGCCGGGAACGCTTGAATATCTTAGAGATAACCAGCAAATAGCCCCTGCAATGCAGACACCCAAACTGGGAAGAATTTCCCTAGCATGGAGTTTGCTGTCATGCTTCTCAAAAAACCGCTGAATGAAGAAACTGCTCCAGATTACACGGGCAGCCATATTAACCAGATTCGCCCATAACAGCCCGTATACCCCTGATTGTGTGATTTTTAGAAACACATATGCGGCGACAACAAAGACCGCCGACAATATCCCCATCCATTTGGTTTGTAACCGTAGCTCAGAGTTGGTAGCTGCAGCGGAGACGAATGCTTCGGTAATGCCGTTAACTGCCAAAAATGGTATATAATAGCAGTACAATGACAAAACCTGTTGAGTCTCTGGAGAGTCCCAATGTGAGCCAATAATTAGCTTTATCGCGAGAGGAACAGCCGCAGGACCGACGGCGGCAATTGAAACACAAAGTATGCCGTATCCTCGTAGGATATTAAGGAATTGTGATTTTACATCCTTGACTGATTTATCAACAATCCGCCCACTTTCTCTTATGCCCAGAAGTTTGCTGAAAATGTTGCGACTGTATTCTTCAATGGGCTGGAAGACGATTCGAGCGATTAGGCCACCATAGTTTGAAGCTAACGCGTACTGTCCTTGAATCTCCAGGGTTGCCAGCGATGCAAGGATGATTGAGTCACTCTGTGTGAGGACATGTTTTGCAACCGACTGCATATACAAGTTCATGCTTAATGCTAATAAATGCTGTGGAATAAAAGAGAAAATATAATTGGAGTGATTACTGGTACGATATTAGCCCTGAAGAAATTTTGGACGAAGGACAAAAGGCAGACTTACATGTAGGCAATACGAACAGGATACAAATTGAACGCATGTTTCTTTGCTATTGGCTTAGCGGAAATAAAATACCCAGCAAGCAAGAAGGTGGCGTATCCGAGTTGACCAAGGGCAATAGACAGGATTCCTGCATCCTCATAACTTCGGCTGATAAGTAATACAGAAGCACAGCTAAAGAATGCTCTAGCCACTGAAGAAGTCATCTCCACTTTTGCTCTTGTACCATAGAGCATTCTCTGCTGAACCACGGCGAAAAGAGGTTCTGATAGCAGTTCCAAAACAGTGGCCAATTGAACTATTGAGAAACTTATTCTTTCAATATGGCCAAGTGTCCTATCATTCTGGCCCAAGTTTAGATAGAGCACGCCAAATAAATATGCCATCGGAAGACCGAGTGCTATCGGAACATACGAAATGTTCACAACGGCCTGGCTTCCTGCATTTTCATCCTGATTTTTGGCATTCTCAGGCCACTTATCTGCTGAATCAATGTCAGCAGCCTTTGTGATCTCTGGTGGCTGACGCTGTGCGGCTAGTCTGATACTTTCTCTCGAGAAGAACAGCACAGTGATTGAATATAACTCAATCTGTGAAGCAAGGCCGAATGCATAAGGGGTGATATGTCTCAAGAGAATTTGGTTTGCTAGGAATGTGAGGGCACGAGAGACCACTTGAATAGCAATCAAGTAGACTGGACCCAGAGCTAGCCGAGAGCCTGAGACCATGCTGAGGCACGAGAGTATTCAAACAGCGTGTGTCTTAAAACGGATCCATAATCCCCAAGGAAGAACATGCGTTGAAGCGCAGCAAATGGAAGATATCAAATGTTGGTCCATCAAAGGTCCGTCTAGGTATGTCCAGGCGTGCGAACGAACGAAGGTGTCTGGGCCAAGAAATAGATTAGATAATCAAGCGTATCACGTGGGATTTAATTGCTGGTGCCTGTCGAAAACGCGTCGCGATAAAGTTTTTTGTAGTCAACGAGTTAACTAATTAATAGTTAGATAAACCCCCACCAAAACGCCCTTTCAACGCGTCTTCGTCTTCAACAGGAAGTTCACCACAATCAACCTCAACTTTCCACCCGACAGCACCAGCAGTTCACTAGGAGCTGAAAGACGCTGACGGCACCGTTCTCTGTACACCTTTGAAGATGGCTAGCCAAATATCTGTGGGCGCCTTGAGGTAATGAACCCCTGAGTCAACTGGTTAATCTAGGCTAACCAACACATTTCACAGTGCTATGTTTGACAGCACGAAACTGCATGTGCCCCAACCAATACTGCAGTGTCTGCGGATCAAGCCAGTTGTTGTGCGGGAACAAGATCGCTACGGTGTGGTCTTCAGTGATGTGAACCACTTTGTTCGAACAATGCTTCCTACCCGTATGTATTACTGCACTCTTAGTCGCTTGGTATATTCGCCATCTAACTGCCTGGTTTCTACATAGAGTTGAACAGCTATGTGACGGACGGGATACTTCGACGTGGCTCCTTTGTGCGACTGACCAATTTCCAGGTCAGCGTTGTGAAAGGCAAACAGTGAGTGAGCTTGTTGCATGCAATTTTAGACTGTGTACTAAATCACTTGTAGTCTTCTCATAATCATGGGCCTCGAAGTCCTCAGTGCTCTGGGCGAAGCGGAAAGAATTGGAGATCCGAAACCTTTAGAACCAAAGTCCGGAGATGAGATGGGAGGGCAATCAACCACTCTTTCCAGTAACGAATTCTATAACGCACCACAGCCGCACAATCCTCCACAACACTTTCAAAATATTCAGCGGTCTCGGCCATCTGGCATGACCTCCAATGCAAACATATTCTCTATTGAGGCCTTGTCCCCGTTTGCTAACAATAAGTGGACTATCAAAGCACGTTGTACGCACAAATCTAACATCAAGACATGGAAAAACACTTTTGGAGAAGGAAAGCTTTTCAGCGTCAATCTGCTGGATGACAGTGGTGAAATCAGGGCTACTGCCTTCAAAGATCAGTGTGATTTACTCTACCCTATCTTCGAAGAAGGAGCTGTTTACTATATCTCGAGCCCTTGCACAGTCAAGATGGCAAAGAAAGAATTTAGTAACGTGAACAACGACTATGAACTCACTTTCGATAGAGACACAGTTGTTGAAAAGGTAAGCAGCGTGTACCCAAAGTCTAAACCAAGAATTCTCTAATTTTTACAACTAGGCCGAAGATCAAAATGATGTTCCACAGATTCGCTTCAATTTTACTAGCCTAGGAGATTTGCAATCAATTGACAAGGGAACGACAATTGACGTACTAGGAATATTGAAAGACGTTGATGCCACTTCTCAAGTGACTTCTAAAACTACGGGGAAGCCATATGACAAGCGAGAGCTTACGCTTGTTGATAATTCTGGATTTTCTGTCCGTCTTACCGTATGGGGAAATACAGCCACTAACTTTGACACTCCCCCCGAGTCCGTTGTTGCATTTAAAGGTGTTAAAGTATCTGATTTCGGAGGCCGCACATTGAGTCTACTGAGCTCCGGCACAGTAACAGTTGACCCTGACATTGAAGAAGCACATAGACTGAAGGGCTGGTATGATGCCCAAGGAAAGTCAAATTCCTTTACCGCCTATTCCTCCGGAGCTACTGGAGGCGGCGGTGGCTCGTGGCCTACTTTCAAAACTATCTCTGAAATTCGAGACGAAGAAATTCCAAGCGCAGATAGCTTTGAAAGCTTCTCGCTAAAGGCCACTGTGATCCACGTAAAGGACAACTTGTGCTACCCTGCCTGCCCGAATGAAGCATGCAAGAATAAGAAGGTGACTAGAGGCGACTTGGACCAGTGGCACTGTGAGCGATGCGAAAGGTCGTACGCCAATCCCAAGTATCGCTACATACTTTCACTCAACGCCTGTGACCATACTGGCCAAATCTGGTTGAGCTGTTTCGATGAAGCCGGCCAGATGATATTTGGCATGACTGCAGATGAGCTGATGAAAATCAAGGAGGAAGATGATGCAGCTGCAAATGAAATAACCAAAGGCGCAACCTACTGCACATGGAACTTCAAGTGCCGGGCAAAGCTGGATACCTATCAAGAGCAACAACGGTAAGACCCCTTTGTATCTCATTGTCGCTACCATTCACGCTGACGCCAGTATGCTCTTTCTCCCTGCAGAACCCGGTATAATGTTTATGCGGCTACACCCATTGACTATGCTACAGAGGCCGACCAACTATCCAAGTTGATCGCATCGTACAGTATCTAACGGGGACATAGACGGGTTGGTTTGAACCCAGGAATAGCTATCGAGTCTAGATGTTAGAGTAGTCTGAATAATAATAACTATGTAGCTGTCCAACAGCTAACTAGTTACCTTCTTCCACTCCCTTAGTTCAGCCTCAAGCCGAAGGAAGCTCCAGCCAGTCACGATGCTCTGCTTACTCATTTATATCACGTGATTATATTGGAGCCCTGGGCAGGTGAGGTCACGAGGAGCGGGAAGCGAAAACCGCGGAGAGACGCAGCGAAAGCAACAAACAACAACGACAGGCGACTTGAGGGACTGAAAGAGAGGCACAAGAGAGAGCCCAACATTCGCAAAAACGAGCCCATGATGTCGTTGCTGCAGCTGGTCAAGGCTAAATTTCTGTAAAAATGGAAATTTCTTGAGCTCCTGCGTCCTGACTTTGCCTGCTTTCTACACCCGTTTTTGAAGGACAGCAGCCCTAAATATAACATACGGGCATCCTTCCACATTGTGACTACCTGCAAGACGTCTGGATGATGATATCGTTTCCTGACCTGGGAGAAACCGTCATATCCGCTCCTTGCAATTACTTCTCCGCCTTAGCAGGCCATCTGGCCACTGTTTCACATCATATTTTGATGAATATAAAAGAAAGAGAACAGAAGCCAGAAGTGGTAGCTTGACATCGTCACTCCTTTGGTTCGCTCTTTTTCTTTTTTAGAAAAAGGCATATGCTATGACTAGTTGACCTTTTAGGGAACATATATTTTAGCGATGACTCGGATACCATGTCGCTCAACGGCGGCCAGGGGGATTATGCGCCCGCGTCAAACCTTTCCCAAGGCCGCCGTGCGCAAGCACAAGATTATTTTGGAAAGCATCACGCAAGAGAAGAAGAAACTCCGCATTGCCGTATGTGCTGTCTACTCCTAGTGCTCTATGCGCCCCGTATAGCCGGTTCTAAGTGAAGGGTAGATTTCTTTTGAGACCAAACCGCCTCCAGGATACACGTTTATTCCAGCAGGAAATCCGGAGTTCACTAACGGATGCAAGGAGCTGTGCCGGAAGGATGGATACAAAGTTTACACCGTGTCGGTTCGTGCTATTTCTTTAGAAGAAATATTACTCCGTTGTATATACCTGGCTGCTGACAGTTTGCATTTGTTGTTTTAGACAACCCCCCATCAACGAGTGCACGATCTTTCTCAGCATGTCCACAGGATTGGTTATCATTTCCCTAGTGTTGTGGTGGCTTCAATATGCATGGAGCGGGGTTTTTTCCTTTCATCCAGTGGGAGAGTGGTAGCGTATCAGAACCAGCGCCCTGACCAGATCCAAGGTAACAAAAGTGCAAGCTCGGAGCAGTCACAGGAAACCATCAACGCAGAGGCGAGGGACGCAATCAAAGATTTGTTCCCTAACATCCCAACCAAAGACCTGAATCAGATTGTAAAGACGGCTTTCAAAAAGGTACGCCAGCCATCACGCTTGCATTCGCTGCTAACTGTTATGTCTAGGGAAAACGTAGGGTTGGGACAGCAACCGAGCTTCCATTAGCACGCCGAGCTCAGCTAGCAGTAGTGGCTCATATTCGCCATATCTACACTAGCTATGATCGGTTACTAAAAATGACCTCCTTTCAGGAAGCCAGGGCGTCGGTCGAAGAACCTACCCTTGCTAAGCTAGTCCTGTGGCGAGGCGATGATGAAAACGGTACAACTGTACTTGAAGATGTTTTCCGTGAAGTCATCGTTATATCTGATGATGAAGACGATGAACGAGATGGTGAAGAGCAGGCGGCGGAATTACCACTGCCACCTCCACCACCTCGCCCTCATCATGAGATCCCTAGAGAAAGCATGGAGCTAGTTTCCAGGAATACCACAGAGAGGCAGGTTCCACTTAATTATGGAACTCCGAGGGACAGCCACTTTGCTACCCGTTCTTTCGCCCCACAGAATTCCAGGCAAAACCCTTCTTCTCCCAGCGTGATCACTATTGATACCCCTAGCCAACATTCTGAACGGAGAACCAATGACCACAGAGGGTTCCGCAGGTACGAGGCATGGGATCGAGCAAGAACTCGGTATAGCCATCTTGTAAACGGAGCTGCTGCCCCTGCTGTGCCAGAACAACGCTCTCCACGGTACTCACAAGCCAAACCACGGCAGGGATTCCCTGGCAGGGGGGAAGACCACCGAGTTCGGCTATCGCCATCTATGGATTGTTCAATTATAAGAGCTACTGATAGTAGTACCAGGAGAGATGTTGTTACAGATCATGCCCAACCTGCCAGCCCATACACGCCAAGAAGGATCACGGCCCTGAAAGAGACAGAGCCTGAGGTAAGAATCTTTGAAATAGTGCTTGCAGCGTATATTCATTTTGTCGTGTGCAGAACTAACGGGAGCGGCAGCGGCACCGCCAACTTCCGGACCATTCCCCTTTCTCGTCAGTTATTGAACGGTCTCAAATAGAATATGATTACAGACAGAGCCCTAGTACGTCTTCTAACCTACAGAGAGCGAACCGTATCCAGTCTCGACTCAGCTATCCTCCATCTGGGCTTGCTCACCATGGGCTCTCGTCGGCGCTTCCCCAGTCCCAAGCGGGGTCCCGTCTTGAGTCCCGGGATTACCCCATTGTTCCATCAATCGAGAGCCCGATGGCTCCGATCAGCCGACCAGAGAGGTCGGATAGCATCCCAAGAAACAGCCCAAGGTTGACAATGATGATGCCCGACATGAGACCCACTGAGAACGGACCTCCTCCCTCACAATTAGACCAGCATGCAAGGCATCAGGAAAGACACTGGGATGGTTCCAGGTATTCTCGTGTCGTTGGCACTCCCCAAAGACTGCTGCCCATCACTGTACGGAATGACATGCCGTCCTACAATAGCCATGTATCCCATCTGGATGAGCCATCCTGGAGTCCCTCATCTGGAGGCCAACACCACCAGCACCCGCAATCCCAGCCGCTACGGAGCTTAGAGAACATGACACGCTCTCCATTACTGGATAGACCGAGGGTTGTGCGAGTCGCCCAGCCTGGCCAGGCCGACCCTGAGCAGCGATATATCCACCATACGGGAGAGCATCACAACAGGGAGCGAGGCGTAGTATCATCATCCTCTCACCAGTCAGCTATGGCTGCGACTAACCTAGCAGATGCACCAAGGAGGATAACTTCACGGTATCCGTACCCTGACAACCCAGCAATAGTGATCCGACAGAGACATAGCCTGAATCCCCGTCTGGTCGCCTATCCTGCGGATACCGACAACCATTTGGCGCAGGTTCGCGTATATGATCGGCCTGTGGAAACTCGGACTTCTTTGGTATGTAATTACAAGGGGAGTCAAACGAAGAAGCGAGACGACCTGATTCCCCCCTCCTTATTGATTCACCTTTCTTTCTATCCCACGCTTTGGAGATCTTCCCTAGGATCCTCTTTTCTTTTTGAACCTCCCTGTCCTGTGTCCCTTGTAATATCCGTGCTGACCAAGTTATATCTTGTAATGACAAAACAGACTCAGATGGAGGATGGCCGGCATAATCATCATCATCATCATCGTCATCATCATCCAGCAGGGACGACACCCTTGGAAAACTGGAAGCCTGCTCTCATGCCGGACAGCGGCAGCAGGAACCGCCATGGCTATGCCTATGTCGAGAAACAGCCCTATTCATATATAGTGGACAGTGATCGGCCACCCGGGCCAGCGCCAGCACCGGTACAGGCAGCTGCTGGATCCTACTACCCTAGTGCTACCTCCGCTTTCCGGTCTTATCGATCTCCTCCACCGCCGACGTCGATACGCAGCTCCGAGTCGTCGGCCATGACCTCTACGCTCACTCGCACCTGGACCGCGCCCGAGCTGGGCCCTTCAAACGGCCCCATCCGCAGCCAGCAGCCATACACTCACCGGCCGTTCCTGTAGCAGTACTTAGTCGCGGTAGTCCGCCGCACATGCATGACGGGGGTGGGTGGCTTGTATGTTTTGCTTGTATTGAGTGAGCACGGCGTTTTTCATGCGGGAACAAGAGGCGGCGAGCGTGTATATATATCTATATCCCTTTTTACATAAATACGTCATTATCATTATCACTGCTGCCGGAGATTCCTGTCAGTGTATGAGATGAGCCGTCGCTGCCGGTTCGACCGAGGTTGGGCTGTGGCGTCTGGCTGCATGAACTGCGAGATCGTAACCAGTGAACGAACTAACTAGTCAGTTCAACGAGCAAAAAGAAGCTGATCTTCTCAAACCTCGCGATACGAGCCGTCAAATCTCCCAACGACAACGCAGCCCCCAGTCCCAGGAACCGGGGCCAGGACAGGGCCAGGAACGCCGCCAGGGGGGGAGGATTTTTCGCTGGCAAGTAGCAAATGGCAGCACCGCCCGCCAGCCTGGATCGATCGCGGCCAGCATGTGAGACAGACCGGGGGTGGAAGGGGAGTCGCTGGCGTCGACCTGCTCAGCTCGCCACACAGCGAGAAGATACTCCGACGGGACACGAGAGAGACTGGGACTACTGCCGAAGACGCAGGACACGCAGGACGCAGGACGAGAAGCTGGCCAGGACCGCCGTTGCGAGCGAGAGAGACGGATGTTGGCAGCGATACGAGGCCGCCAGCCAGCCAGCCAGCCAGCCAGCCAGCCCGGCAGCGCGACAAGAGGGAGCAAGAAGCCATCGCCAGCGACGGACGAACGGCTGCATCGCCCAGCTCCAGCGCAGCGCCCAGTCGCCAGGCTCGCCGTTGACGTCGATTTGCTCGGCCATCGTGGCATCGCCGTCGCCATCGCCATCGTCATCGCCATCGCCATCGCCCGTCGCCGTTGGTCGCTTGTCTGGTCCTGCGTCTCCGGTCTCGAGCTTGCTTCGAGCGCATCCCTCAACGTCGTTCCAACGCCCGGCGCAAAAAGCTTCGCTGCCAGGGGACCCGGTCTCCGCCCTTTGCGCCAGGGCTCATCTTGACAAGCGCGAGACTTCCCATGGATCCTCCCCACCGCGCCACCAGACAGGCGAACCAGGGCCGAGAAAAGGCCCTGTTGTGGTGGGGGAGAGCCCTTCTCGAGGCGACTATCTCATTGATCCAACCGACGCTTCTTCTGGCCGGCGGCGTCGTCGTCGTCGTCGTTGTCGCTTCCGTTCGTCTTCATGGGATATGCACGCAACGAGCGAGCGAATGGGGGTGGAGCTGCTCTTCCCACTGCGCTGGAGCTGCTCCTCTCTCCTCGTTGGTCGGATTGGGATGTTTGCCCCGAGTCCGCTGGACGGGGATGTTGCTCTTTTCTGTCTCTTGTGGCCGCGATGGAGACGTCAAGCCATGAGCCATGAGCCGTGAGCCAGCGTTGAGGGAGGCGACGAACCAGAAACAGAACAGACAACAACATAGACAAGACAGCTGAAGAGAGACCGAGAGAGAGAGAGAACGTCAGATACGATCTGCTCCTGGGATAGGCATGGAGCTCTCTCGATGAGCTCCTCCAATCTCGTTCCATCCCTGCTCACTGCGAGATATCCATCTTCATCCACTGATTCAACTAAGTATATGGTTATCCCAAGCTTGCTACCGAGCAAGACTTGCTTGCATACCCTGGCTCCATCCGGCCCGCCCCTCTGGCTTTTATCTTTCTTCTTCTTTTCGCTGCCACCCACCCTCCTGTGCCTCTCTTCTGCCTCTGTTCCTCTCTCCTATCTGTCTCCAGGACTGGCGGCGGGGGGGGGGGGGGGGGGGGGGGAACTTGGGTCCCTGCCCGTATCTTTTTAAAAAAAACCCCACCCCTTTTGATGGGGGGTTGAGCCCTTTAACGCAAAGCAACTTATCCAAAACTCCCAAAGGAATCGCGCCGGGACCCTCCCCGTTCCCTTCACATTCCAAAAACCCCCAAAGCCTTAGATTTGCGAAAAATTGCCTAGATTACCTAAGCCCCTCAAAATAACGACGCTGGCTTCATCCCCCCGTTTTATAGCCGGGGTCTTTTTGCTTGGATGCCGTCTCGTTCAGGGGACTAAAAAGAAAAAAATCCCAATTTCCACCCCCCCCCCCCGCGCCCGGCCCTATCCCGAATACAATACCACAAAGGGCCAAGAACCGGTGATATAACACGCCCCCGGCGCGGCGAAAAATC